AGTGAGTTTATCAAGGTCCATTATATCGTTCTACGTTACCAGATGGATTCAAAATGTATCGTCCTTTGACCTCTCCAGATTTGCACGTGACTTCACCAACGACTCTCGTGCATGATAGAATTGCACGCGTGTACAGACCACCCTCACGTAACCCCCTGGGAAGTGGCCACGTGCTCCCAGGGGTCCACGTAGCCACCCCGGGTGAGAATCACTGCTCCAAAGGGCCATCTCGTGCCGGCAGTGGCATGACTCAACGAGTTTCGGGGTCGCACCTTTAATTTTAGCGATTTTATTGCTCAAGTCTTTACATAGGGCCCGTAAACGGGAGACGAGTGGCCAATGGGCAAACACAAGAGCGTGCGTAGCAAACAACACGCGCACCAAAGTCACTGTTGGGAATCCACGCAGTGATAGCTTCCAAGCGCGTGGTGACGCCGTGACGGCGGATCACTCTTGTGTCGTGGCCATGGCCGTGAAGATGATGGCTCTGGGGTTGGGCACTTTGGAATTTGAGGTGCGATCCGCACACCCAGGATGATTGCTTGGGCAGTGTGGTGACTCCTCCAGGGAGCGAGGCAATTGGGGAACAGCTGGGTTTAATAAAGGAGTCATTGTTAAGGGAGATATCTCCGCCTGTATGAAGGGGGGCTGAGCCAGAGATCGGGAATTCTCTTGGGGTGTGAGTGAGCTGATACCTTGAACGTGGCTGGGTAGTGCGCTGATATAGTTTAAGATGTGTTTAGGATCATTTTTACATTAATAATAAATAAAGAATACCTGTTGGATACCGACCCAGGTGTGGTCACTAAAATGAATCGTGAGTCACCACCTCATAACACTTGGAAACCACGTAATGCCTCTGTTTGCAGTATCTTCTTCCTAGCGTTGTTCCCGCTGTGGCGCAGGGTCCGCTTTTCGGCATTGTCTTCTCCATTTGGCTCGGTCCAGGGCATCTTCGGGGGATGCGTTGACCGTCTTCACGTCTTCCTTTATTCGATCCATCATCCATCGCTTCTTCGGACGTCCGCGTGGACGGCGGCCCTCTGGCTCAATACGCATGGCAGTCTTGGCCACTGATGACTCTTCACTTCGCATCACATGGCCGTACCACCGAAGCCTTGCCTCAAGCATCTTGTCCGCAATGGGGGCCACACCAAGTCGCTTCCGAACGTCTTCGTTCCTGACACGATCCCATCGAGTGAGCCCGAGGCTCCATCTGAGCATCCTCATCTCCATGGTGTGGAGAGCTTGTTCGTGTACAGTTGTGGCTGGCCAGCACTCGGATCCATAGAGTGCCACCGGTCGGACGATGGTCTTGTATATTTTTCCCTTAAGCCTATCCGGCATTTTCCGGTCACAGAGGACTCCGGTGACTTGCCTCCATTTCATCCACGCCGCATTGACTCGTGACCTCACATCAGTCGTGATGCTACCATCTGAGCTGATGGTGGGGCCCAGGTACTTAAAGTCCGTCACTTTCTTCAGATCTTCTCCGTCAATGCTGATGGTGACGTCGGTTTGGGGGCCACACTCCATATACTCCGTCTTTTTGATGTTGAACCTCATCCCGTTTTCGTCCAAACGTTCCTTCCACAGGCGCGTTTGTCTTTCCACTTCTCTTCTCTCTTCATCTGAGAGGAGGACGTCATCCGCGTAGAGAATTGACCATGGAATGGGCGTGTGCAGGTCGGCAGTGATCGTGTCCATGCACAGTATCTATGTTATGCTATTCCAGTAGTGTTCATGCAGACTGCAATTGTGTTTCATAGTTACAGCAAATCCAATATCGATAGAGGGTTCCTGGACGACGTTGTTTGCACGGTGCCACATCTGCAGTTTGAGTCGTCACGGAAACCCCAACGTTGGAGGTTGGCAGCGCAACGGCCTTGCCCTGTGTCCACAACCTGCCAGCAATGCCCCCTGATGGCGTGGCTTGGTGAAGTCGGGTGGACGGACTGGAGGATCCCCGACAAGAAACTAATTCGGTGCTGATTCTCCCCCCCACCCCCCTCATCTCGCCAGCCAGTATCACCCAAGCAGTCCTGACGTGGCTGTCTAGACCGCAGTGGGTGTCTTGATGATGGAAGAACTTTCAGAAGGTGGATTTTGGAGATCTTCGTGCAGCGGTAGACTTGTGTTGTTGTTGATCTTCTCCAGTCATTTGCTAATTGCAGCTTTCCGAACTGCAAGCCATGGCAGAGGCACGGCAGTAACAACAATGGGCACGTTTAATACATCGCCACCGCCTTTGTCCACCCAGCAGTTAGTTGATGGGCAGAGCGCGTCTGGTGGAATAAAGTGCGTAGGTGATCCCACCTCCTCCTCATGTGCCTGGTCATCACTGAGGAGTCCATCCCAATACTCACTAGAGCTCCCTCTAGTGGAGACACTTGATGACGGAGACTTGTGTTGCCTCCGAAACGTCGTGTTTTATTTTATTTTCATTAATTTTGATGTTTTACCTACGTGACTTTACCGAAAAAACCTAAGAATATGAAACCTTGCAGTCACGAAAGCTTCAAATCTAGAAGCAATTGCACGGTTGCACCTTTTTTAGCCTTTCAACTGAGATACGAGGGAACTATTCCCACACGTGAAGTGTGGGAATAGTTCACCCTTCCAGCAGTCAAACACTTGTAGCAATGACACAGAATGCGCATCCATCATCTTACACTGACTTTGTAATCCCTCGTGTTCGCCCAGGGCCCTAGCCCTCGGCAATGCCCTAAGCAATGGCTCTGTGTCTGTGGCGATGTGTGACCGAGGCACCCGAAACGAAGCAGTCAGCTGTGAAGTCCGCCGGCTTAAATGTCTCTGGTTGGAGTAAAATCTCAGCTGTGTCGGAGGACCAGGGTCCATATCACAGGAGATGAGACTGCAATCAGGTTCGGGTGACCGAGGTTCACGGGATGTGGAAAGTTGAAGCGATTCTTCTGACGAAGCTTGTCGCATTTCACGAGCCCTTCGAGCCTCGCTCGATTCAATAAACGTATGAATGACTCTTATCTGTTACTAGCTCACTTGCCGTGCAAAGTATATGCATTATAGCGCCCCCCCCCCCCCCCCCAAAATACAAAAGTCTATTTTTATAATTTTTGCATGGTGTACAGTCTGGAGAGTATCCACATGGCAACTTTCAAGTTTGTTGCATGTTGGGAAGTATGCTCAACATTTTGAACAGACACACATTCAGAAATTTCTTTTTTATATAAATAGAGAAGCGTGTTTGTGCAGTGTGTTGCTGGCCTGTGGAGATTGTGGTCCTTTGGGGGCCGTGTTCAGCAAGCGAGCTACATTGTGTAGGCATGTATTTAGTGTGATCTCTGGCGGAAGGATGTCGTTCAAACGCTGAATCTCCTGAGTTGCAAGCGAACTCGCAGCAAACCAAACACAGCGAACATCAACGGATGCCGAAGGATGACTGATTTCACGTTGGGTGGATGGAAATGAGTGACATTTTAAAACCGCGTTAGCCGAAAAGGCAATGATGTGTTTCGCCTAAAATGTACTGTACCAGATTTGTGGTGACCGTCATTTTGACAGGCTAATACATACAACACGAACATTGATAATGCTCTAAAGCACTGTATACGATGTGGACATCGACAGTGGATGGTGTGTTCTTGCAGGTGAGACCAATGCGCAGAAAGGAAGATCCAATTGTGGACTTGCAGTGCCCTCTGGCGGTAGAGAGACGACGCCGTTCTTCACGACAGGACCGCCGGACTCTTCGTTCCCCCCCCCCCCATCAAGCGCACGACAAAAAGGCGATGTCCACACGCCCCTGTACCATCATGGCACAAAATAAATTCGCAGGTGACCTGCGTTGTGCCCAGGTACACTCCTAGCAACAGTGGCAGCGACTGGACACGTGCACCATTCTAGAGTGGCTGTGATGACGATGACCACGACGTTCGAGCACAATGATGTCAGTCGTCGGTTGTCTTTGCTGCCGTCTTCAGGAGCCCACCGATGCCACTGCTGCTGTACGCGTGGCAATTTCATGACGACAGTGATGGATGCGGGTGACGACAAGGCGCTTTGCGTCGAGGTTGTCACAATATGAATCCCCCTTCTGACTTTGCCAGATCTGGTGGCAAGGTTGCAGGTGAAGAGGAGGCACAGGGCTGACGAGCAGAGGGGATAGGATAGAGGGTGATGTTAAACGAGGTAATGGGTTGGGGAGGCAAGAGGGAGCTCAGGCGAACGGGAGGAGAGATGGCACCAAAGGCTACGGTGAGGAGACGAGGGCAGGAGGTGTCTACACGTGTCCGTTGAACTCATTTCGCACCGTGCGTAGCCAACTCCGCGCTAATCGGAGGCGCAATGCAGGATAACGACCGACCGGAGACACACAGGCACGAGAGAGGATTGCACTTCTCCGTGGAGTGACGGGCAGAATTGGGTTACGAGGTGGCTGGAGCAGGGGGGGAGGCATCAGAGGTTATGAGGAGGGAAAGAAGTTGGGAGGGGAGCCGAAGAGAAGCGGGGGGCAGCGGAGGAGTTGGAACGACCACGGGACTTGAGGAACACAGCAGAATGGATTTGGCGGAGAACCGGCCCCGTGAGGAGGGTGCGGGATTGGGGTCGGGAACGTCACGCATACAACACGAAACATGGAATGCACGCTTCAGTTAAGAGTGCTTCATTTTATTTTTTATTGCTTATTTGAGGGTACAAATTTTTATTGGAGGTGACTGAAAACTCCTCTCTGATGCAGATACCGCCACTCTCAAACGCCACTCGCAACTCCCCGCTCTAACTTTAGCAACAGGGTTATTTGCTCAACGTGTAATAACAGCGTTATATGGCCACCGATATTCGAGCAAACAACACTTAACACCCTTCTGGCTGTCACGTCCTTCTCCGTTATCTACGCGGTGACTCCCCTAACTCTGCCCTCTATCTCCGCTGACTCTCCGCCCTCTCACACTTCCCCCCTCAAACCCCTCTCCTTGTATCGGCGTTCTTCATCGCAAGGCCCGTAGGATCAATTGCAGGCCATTACACATTTAGAGAATGATTGTTGAACTGTGACAAGTCAATACATTTCTATTGCTAAAGACATCATTTGGTTCTGCTCTCGCTCGAGGGTTATATGATGAGAGCGTAAATTAAAAGGCCCCCTGCCGCCCCGATTCCACCAGTTGCTGCAGTTCCCAGTACTCCAAGTCCAATGACGCCTGCAGAAGGAAACACAAACACATCAGTGACGCGGTGCATGCCATCGCATTTTCTTGAAGTGACTTTGCCTTTCAAAACACAGCATGAATCATACGCTTAGCCATATGTGATGGTAAAAGCATTGGCAAATAGGTTCGGAAACGAATGTCCTGATTGGGAAGATGGAAGCCTGCCTGTGTATTGAAACCCATGCAGAACAGGGGGAGAACAGACAAACTCCACACAGAAAGGCACCCGAGTCAGGCATCGAGCCCAGGTCCTTGTTGTTGTGAAGGTACACATGTTACCACTGCGCCAGCCTGCTCCCCAAGTACCGATATATATATGTACTAGAACCATTTCTCCCAATTAACGAGCAGCTAGAACCTGCTTGCCAAAGGGGTTCCAAACGGCATGCTGGAAGACCCCGAGCGATGCAATGGTGCAGAACACGTTGGTCTCATCTCGAGCCAAACCCACGACGGCAGTGTTTATAGAGAGCGCGTGAACGTACCGATGGACTGCAGAATAGCCACCGTGCTGCCGGCCGCTACCCCCCCACCGGCAGCAGTTGCAGCCGCGGACATCATCGACGCTGCGTAGGTGCCCGCTGCTATCCCCCCCGAGGTGAATCCCGCAGTCGAAACCGCGGTGGTGACTCCGGTGACTGCAGTCGCTGCGTACCACGCACACACATCACACAGTACGTTCAACACGTAGGCTTTCGCCACTAATGTTATTCGTAAAAAAGTTTTTTGTTTTTACTAATTGGCTGCGTCTGGTGGTGGCGGGTTTAACTACATTTATATTTACGCAATCTAACCCAAAAAACCTCGATTATGGATATTACAGTAATGTCATGCACTTGCATTATAAAGCTATCCTTGCACCGAGCCCAATTCATGTGTCAGGGTGACAATACAGGCTCAATTACATTATATTAGAACATTTTTAAAGTTGGAAGAGAAAAACAACAGTTTTGCCATTTGTTCACAAAGTAATTGTGGATTAGATTAATTGTTACGATTTGGGGGTCACAGTTCTGGTCAATAATTGTGTTTTAATCTTGGTGAATACACAATATTGACCTCAATTATTTGCTTTATTCAAAGTTCCGTGTATAAAAACGCAAGTGACTATTGTCACTTGGGATTGCCACCTGCCCTGCATTTCCCCATGATTAGGACATTATAAGACCTGGTTTTAAACAGTTGCATTCTAATACACCACTCAAGACTACGCATTTGCATGCAGTTATTTTATTGGGAGATGTCTTCTTCCCATGATCTGTCCCAGTTCTATGTAGCTCAGAGGTGGACAACCTTGGTATAACTCAAAACACATTCCTGCGGAGGGAGCTGGTAGGAACGTTGGGTTGCTCGGTCAATGGCCAGGGTCAACGGCGGCGTGGTGTATTCCGCAAATATGCCCAACTGTGAGGGCGTGCACAAGCCGGCGTGAGTAGGTTAAACGTTGAGTTTTATAAGGGCACCACGGGGTGACCAGCCCCTCCCCACCCAGCCCCACCCCTCCCACCCCCCACCCAGCCCCACCCTCCCCACCTAGCCCCTACCCACCCTCCCCTCTCCACCCAGCCCCACCCCTCCCATTTTTTGATGCACGACGGACGGACACAATAATCCCCTGTGGGCTGGTGGAACCAGGAGGTTCCTACCAATAACAGTTGCATACTCAGTAAATACTGTACAGTACAGGGGCGGTTTCTTCATTAGGGCGATTGGGCGACGCACCACCAATGTCATTCAACCACAGAGTTTCGCGAGCCGTCACTGTGCCTCTGGATATAGTCCAATCAGCGTCATGCTACGTTCTGTGGAGTACCGCCTCTTTTTGGGCGATTTCACTCCGGCTGAGAATCGCCCCGAGTGGCCCCATAGACTTACATTCAAAGATGTTTTTTTTCGAACGGCGGGCGCTGCAATGCATTCTCTATGGCTTCCGGGAGGGCTCGCACTAAAGTGCTTACGTCATCACACGTAAGCACGTTTCATCCAACAATATTTTTTGTCGCCACCTAGTGGAATCTTTAATAAAAGAAACTGAGTGGATTGTAATAATAGTGAGTATAGAAACAAACAAGATGTATTGTAAGAGTCACTTTATTTAGTATTAATATTAAAGAAGTGAAGTTGCCTTTACATGCTTAAGCTGTTAATTTATCCATTGCATGGGTGGACCTTATCCTTATCAATCATCCAGACATTTGCCCCCCCTGAGAGATTTTGCAGGAGCCGCCACTGGTACAGTATATACCATGCATTAGACGTATAGGTTTTAGGTTGTTGTGAATATCGATTGGTACTTTCTTTCTGTTTCGTGGGAAACCCCCTTTTCTGATATAATGACAAGTCAACCCGTTCACCCGACTTAACACCATCATATGTTCATCTCTGGGGTTACAAAAAAGTAAAGTCTACACTAGCAAACCAAGGATACCTTGAAGAACTTAAACATCGTGTTGTTGGTGATGTGTCATCATCCATCCCTACAGCTGTGTTGGAAAACTTTTCTCAGAGTATGAACCCCGAATTAGATTGATCATCGTGAAAGATTGATTCGAGTGAATGATGGACGACATGTAGAAGTTTATTCATAATTCGAGAATATATAATAAATACCATTAAAATGTTAAATACATTTACAATTATAAATCAATGCTATGTATTCACGTGAAATGTATGTCAGTATCTAAAATACAAATAAAAGTAATCAACGTTATTTTTGGTCGACTCACCTGCGCCTGCCGCAGCAGCAGCCACCATTCCTAATATGATCCCGGCTGTGAATGGCAATTATAAATGTTACAAGAGCAACCAACACAAATGCGAAGCAAATTTATTATTTTCATGTTGGTATAAAGAGCGCTGCGCGAACTCTATTAGAGAGGCGACGGAGTGTGTCCCCAGCGCGTGGCATTGAATGGGCGTCGCTCATCGCTCTTGGACGTCCTGACGCAATGAGCAGCAGTTCATATTTCTATGGCAGGAACCAGTTTAACCAGACAAACACCGTATATAGCACACTATGGACTCTATCTGTATATGTGCACGACTGTATTAGGTTTCGTCATGGAATACACAACGTTCAAGATGATTATTTCTGACCAGTTCAGACAAAGTGGCTGCAGCCCAGCCGCTGGCTTAACAGCGCAGCTGCCTTCAAATTATGAGGCTGAAATATTCCGCTTGCGAATTCCCCAAAAGTAATTATCATATTATTGGTTCTTTCGGTAAAGTCACGGAGAAGGGAAATAATACAATAATAAATATTCCCACGACGTTTCGTGAGAATTTAATAGATTTTTATTATTTTATTGTTTCCCTTCTACGTGACTTTACCGAAATAACCAATAATATGAATCCCTGCAGTCACGAAAACTTTAAATCAGCAATTGTCATGTTTGCGAAAATGTCCCGCTCTATATCTCGCACAAGGTTGGTCAGACGAAAAAAAAACAACAACATTGTGTCTCTTGGCGAGGACATTCCTGCGAAATTGTCGCCTTCCCCAATTATAACTTCTAAATGTAACGTCCGAAAATAAGGTCGAATACAACGCAACGGGAGTCTTTGTTGGTAGAATCGTCCGCAAAATGGGTTGCCCGTTGTTTTATATTCAAATCAGTTGCTCCTGTTCTTGCGTATTCGTGTGTATGGCTGTTTGTCAATGTCAAGGTCTGCTAGCCACGAGAGAGCTTCAGGGGAAGAGTTTGCAGAGTTTGTCCAATTCCTCAGTTGAAGGAGAGCAGATAATGGTTTACTATATGGCCCTCCATATGTTGGCTTACATGGCCACAATCGCACTGTAGCTTGCCTTTAATTTTTAATTCATGAAGGTTTGTGCATTGGCCTGTTGATGTTTTAATGCTGTTGATGGGACACCAGCGGCTTCAAGCAAGGAATGTCAAAGGCAGGAGGCTTTTGGACATTTCAGATACCACGATTGATCCAGTGAGTGGGGAATGGAGATAATATTTGGGCGCAGGCACGGGCGTACAGAAATAATAATTCAACTTGCAATGCACACAACATGTACTCACTCTCCAAGCGAGAACTCAGAGGCGCGAGGAGGAACCACAGACAAGCAGACATGCTGTACCCACTCGGTGAGCCGGTGCCAACAATTGCTCAAGCTCTGCAGCCCTCTATACATTAAGGTGGTATCAGCCGAATAATGAGTGTTTACATGCGGGGGGAGGGGACCAAATCGCCTGGGGGTAAGATACACGTGCGAGGGAAAACACTATCCCGTACACATAGAAGTGGTGGAGTCCACATTTTTAATGGCCGCCTTCTCGTGGCAAGGCAGGGCGTGACACGTCCTCGACGCCCACGGGAAGGGGCTTTCACAATCTTCGTGTGATCTGGCTTCCACAGTTCTGGATTGTGGGCGTGCATAGCCACCACCGTCCGGCTAATGCACGCCAAGGCTGCATTAAACAATTTCTAAATTCTCTATTGTTTCATGCAGCGCATAAACATTGATAATGTCATGTCAAAATGATAGTTGCATACAGTTACATATCCTGCGCATAGGTACATATACGCCGAACAACACACCGGTTAGTGCTGTACTAGTGACGAATTGGCACGTTCTGTTTATGTGACAACCTTTACGTGTTGGCCGTGTCGGGTGGTGGCGGGTTTTAACGACACATTTATATATTTACACGATCTAACCCAAAAACCTCTATTATGGATGATATTGGTCGCGAAATCCTGCGTGTTAAACTGACTCTGACACTTAAGCGGTTGTGCTTTCGCTAAGTTGTCCCCACCTGAAGAAGGACGCTTGTGTTACGCCCGAAACGTCGTGATTTCATTTATTTTAATTTTTTACCCACGTGACTTTACCGAAAAAACCAAAGAGTATGAATCCTTGCAGTCACGAAAACTTCAAATCTCGAATGTTACTTCGCAACATTTACAAACACATGTTCTATTCAACACAACTACAGTATGGTCAAATAGCCATCACGATGGACAGGATGGGGACGCTTCCATCCAGCAGTGCATTGGTAACAACAAGTGCGTTAGGTAGTATTACTGCTCATGGGGTTTATCACCCGGCATACACTGAATCTATAAACTATAAACGAAGGCTACAAAGCTGATGTGGTGTGTGCAGTCGTCTCACCGTAACTGCCCGAGATGAATGCGAAGAGAAAAATGGTTGTAAGAAGGCGGTTCATTGTCGATCGTTGGGTTCTCCACCTGTATGATGAAGATGCTCCACGCTATCGCCAAGCGTCCTATATATATACTCACACACGCGCACGCGCACGCCCCGCGCGGCGTCAGAAACAAACTACCGCGACGTTTCTCTGAAGCGCCACGCCAATGGTGAGAAGCGCACGAGACGCACCAGACGACGTTGTTTCTCGGAATGCGGCGACGTCACACTCGAAGGGGTGGGGAGACCAATCACAGAGATCCCCCAATATGGCCTTTAACGCGCTGTGGTTGTTGTTGGAGCAAGCGCTGTTAGCGAGCACCTATGAAGGTAGCACGGCGCACGAGAGGGTGGGTGGCCAGCACCACGCCCGGCGGGCTTTGTCTCCCCAGTGACGATGTTTACACACACCGCACCAGGTACTCGTTTAAGGCTCAGTCGACCTAGGGGAGTCCCCGGACCGGTTTAGATAATAGTCGCAGAAGTCACGTGATTTATCAATCAAGTCTATTTCTATAACACTATTTCGTGCAAGGGATGCCATTCATTGTTAACAGACTAAATCACAAGAAGAATAAAAGCAAAGTGCACATAAAACAAACTTGCATTATAATAAATTACTATCGAAGGCATATTAGAAAAGAACACTATGAAATCTTAAGTTAAAGCAAGTTTAAAAAGGTGAGGTTGATATTCTTAGGTTTTTTTCGGTAAAAGTCACGTGTTCTGAGAGCTAACTGTAAGAATAATTAACATCAATAGCTTAACCAACTTTGCGAAGTATCCTTAACTAGCTCGTAACTGCAAGCGGACAACACAAAATAAACGGACGCTCTGTTGTTTACATTGTTTACGATAAGTGAGTTTATCAAGGTCCATTATATCGTTCTACGTTACCAGATGGATTCAAAATGTAGCGTTATTTGACGTCTCCAGATTTGCACGTGACTTCACCAACGACTCTCGTGCATGATAGAATTGCACGCGTGTACAGACCACCCTCACGTAACCCCCTGGGAAGTGGCCACGTGCTTCCAGGGGTCCGCGTAGCCACCCCGGGTGAGAACCACTGCTCCAAAGGGCCATCTCGTGCCGGCAGTAGCATGAGTCAATGAGTCAATGGTATAGTGTATAGCATATTGTATAATAATAAATAGTATTAAAGTGTAATGTTTAATACAATGTATAAGGGTGGGGGGGGGGGAGTGAAGAGGACGTGAAACTTTGATGAATTTACCTCAGAGTCGCGTGTTAATGCGTGCGCATATTTTTAACGGGAATTAAAAATTAAAAATGTCGTCCATCCCGCAGCGAATGCGTTGCTACCCGTTGCCAGGGGCAACCGCCGTCCAATGAAACTGCGTATGGTCCGGCGACACACACACACACAGACACACAGACAGACAGACAAACAGACAAACAGATTTGCGATTTTATATATATAGACTAGCATAAGTACCCGGCGTTGCCCGGGTGAAAAATATATTTCTTAATAACCTTACATATATACACAGATGGGCTGCTACCCCTGCCCCCCCCCCCCCAGCCACAATCTCCTTGGCCGCTGTGCAGTAATATGTACGGCCTATAGTGTGGTGGGGTGTCGAGGCCTAGTACCGTGCAGAGCCTCCGGCCTTGCCTAAATTGCCCACCCGGCGAGGCTGGCTTTTAAAAATATTTCAAAACTACTCTTAATAATGTAACTGCAGTGCGTACTGACTGTGGTGGTACCTGCTTTCACTGCAGCAGTGCATACTGTGGTGGTACCTGCTATGATTACACCAGTACATGCTGACTCTATAGCAGTATTTATGGACTGTATAGCACAAAGTACTCACCTGTCAGAGTGGCGTGGTGAGGCCTAGTCCCGTGCAGAGCCTCCGGCCTCGCCTAAATTGGCCACCCGGCTGAGGCTGGGTACTGGGGCCGCTACCCACCCCCCCCCCCCCCCGCGCTACAATAATACTGTCTAATCGCTATAATTTTATTATCTACCGACCCTATAATAGTAATTGCACACATTGTGGTGGGGGGGGAGTGAAGAGGACGTGAAACTTTGATGAATTTACCTCAGAGTCGCGTGTTAATGCGTGCGCATATTTTTAACGGGAATTAAAAATGGCGTCCACCCCGCAGCGAATGCGTCGCTACCCGTTGCCAGGGGCAACCGCCGTCCAATGAAACTGCGTATGGTCCGGCGACACACAGACAGACAGACAGATTTGCGATTTTATATATATAGATATACAGCAGTGTGGTATACAATTGGGTGGGTAGAATAATACATAGTGTAATATTACACTATGTATTATTCTAAGACATAGGGTAGTGTATAGTAATACAGTATACAATGTAATACTATGTAGTTTATACTTTAGCTTTTTAAGTTGTTGTCTAGTTACTGCAGCTACATACTATTAACATTCCTTCCCTTTGATGCTGCTAATCCTGCATAATGCATGGGCATTATGCAGAATTAGCATTTCACAAATAGCACATATCGCATTCCTGCATTTCCCATAAATATGCTAAATTCCTCTTGAAATGCAGATTATTTTGTCAATGCGCATCCCAGCATCAATAGTCGCTCCAAGCCTGGGGCGGGCCATTCAGACTCTGTCTACTTGACAGACCTGTTCTCCACCTGAAGACAGCTGCTTGCGTTGTGGCCGAAACGTCGTGAGAATTATTTTATTATGTTTATTTTTATTATTTTATTATTTTCCTTCTACGTGACTTTACCGAAAGAACCAAGAAAATGTATCCCTAACTAGCTCGTAACTGCAAGCAGACAACACAACATCAACAGACGCTCTGTTGTTTACATTGTTTACGATAAGTGAGTTTATCAAGGTCCATTATATCGTTCTACGTTACCAGATGGATTCAAAATGTATCGTCCTTTGACGTCTCCAGATTTGCACGTGACTATTCACCAACGACTCTCGTGCATGATAGAATTGCACGCGTGTACAGACCACCCTCACGTAACCCCCTGGGAAGTGGCCACGTGCCCACAGGGGTCCGCGTAGCCACCCCGGGTGAGAACCACTGCTCCAAAGGGCCATCTCGTGCCGGCAGTAGCATGAGTCAACGAGTCAATGGTATAGTGTATATCATATTGTTTAATAATAAATAGTGTTAAAGTGTAATGTTTAATACAATGTATAAGGTAATATATAGTATCGAAATTGTATAGTGAATATACAGCAGTGTGGTATACAGTTGGGTGGGTAGAATAATACATAGTGTAATATTACACTATGTCTACACTACCCTATGTCTTAGAATAATACATAGTGTAATATTACACAGAATAATACATAGTGTAATATTAGAATAATACATAGTGTAATATTACACTATGTATTATTCTAAGACATAGGGTAGTGTATAGTAATACAGTATACAATTTAATACTATGTAGTTTATACTTTGTAGTTTAGTTACTGCAGCTACATACGATTAACATTCCTTCCCTTTATTAATGCTACCCCTATCCCCTCCCTATGTAGTTTATACTTTAGCTTTTTACGTTGTTGTTTAGTTACTGCAGCTACATACTATTAACATTCATTCCCTTTGATGCTGCTAATCCTGCATAATGCATGGGCATTATGCAGGATTAGCATTTCACAAATAGCACTAATCGCATTCCTGCATTGCTCATAATATGCTAAATTCCTCTTGAAATGCAGATTATTTTGCCAATGCGCAACCCAGCATAAATAGTCGCTCCAAGCCTGGGGCGTGCCATTCAGATTCTGTCTACTTGACAGACCTGTTCTCCACCTGAGCGATTTCATTGCTCAAGTCTTTACATAGCGCCCGTAAACGAGAGTCGAGTGGCCAATGGGCAAATACAAGAGCGTGCGTAGCAAGCAACACGCGCACCAAAGTCACTGTTGGGAATCCACGCAGAGATAGCTTCCAAGCGCGTGGTGACGCCGTGACGGCGGATCACTCTTGTGTCGTGGCCATGGCCGTGAAGATGATGGCTCTGGGGTTGGGCACTTTGGAATTTGAGGTGCGATTCGCACACCCAGGATGATTGCTTGGGCAGTGTGGTGACTCCCTCAGTGAGTGAGGCAATTGAGGGACAGCTGGGTTTAATAAAGGAGTCATTGTTAAGGGAGAGATCTCCGCCTGTATGAAGGGGGGCTGAGCCAGAGATCGGGAATTCTCTTGGGGGGTGAGTGAGCTGATACCTTGAACGTGGCTGGGTAGCGCGCTGATATATTTAAAAATGTATTCTAGATTTGAAGCTTTCGTGACTGCAAGGATTCATATTCTTAGGTTTTTTTTCGGTAAAGTCACGTAGGTAAAACATAAACATTAATAAAATTAATATTTTATATTATTTTATTTTATTTTTATTAATTTTGATGTTTTACCTACGTGACTTTACCGAAAAAAACCTAAGATTAATTAAAAAATGTGTTTAGGATACCTTTAACATTAATAATAAATAAAGAATACCTGTTGGATACCGAACCAGGTGTGGCCCCTAAAATGAATTGTGAGTCACCACCTCATAACACTTGGAAACCACGTAATGCCTTTGTTTGCAGTATCTATGTTATGCTATTCCAGTAGTGTTTATGCAGACTGCAATTGTGTTTCATAGTTACAGCAAATCCAATATCGATAGAGGGTTCCTGGACGACGTTGTTTGCACGGTGCCACATCTGCAGTTTGAGTCGTCACGGAAACCCCAACGTTGGAGGTTGGCAGCGCAACGGCCTTGCCCTGTGTCCACAACCTGCCAGCAATGCCCCCTGATGGCGTGGCTTGGTGAAGTCGGGTGGACGGACTGGAGGATCCCCGTCAAAGAACTGATTCGGTGCTGATTCCCCCCCCCCCCTCATCTCGCCAGCCAGTATCACCCAAGCAGTCCTGACGTGGCTGTCTAGACTGCAGTGGGTGTCTTGATGATGGAAGAACTTTCAGAAGGTGGATTTTGGAGATCTTCGTGCAGCGTTAGACTTGTGTTGTTGTTGATCTTCTCCAGTCACTTGCTAATTGCAGCTTTCCGAACTGCAAGCCATGGCCGAGGTACGGCAGTAACAACAATGGGCACGTTTAATACATCGCCACCGCCTTTGTCCACCCAGCAGTTAGTTGATGGGCAGGGCGCGTCTGGTGGAATAAAGTGCGTAGGTGATCCCACCTCCTCCTCATGTGCCTGGTCATCACTGAGGAGTCCATCCCAATACCCACTAGAGCTCCCTCTAGTGGAGACACTTGGGATAGCAGTGGCGTGAACAAGCAATTGCACGGTTGCACCTTTTTAAATCCTTTATATTAAGTTCGCTTGCTTGCTTGCTTGCGTGCTTGCTTGCTTGCTTGCGTGCTTGCTTGCTTGCTTAGGACCGTGCAAATCTTTCGC